CTTTGGTTGGATTGACAGAAAAATCTTCCCTTCCATCTAAAAACACTTTTTTTTTTGTCTTTGCAGAATAACCAAGCAGACTTAGAGAATGCTACAGAGGTGCTTTCTGGGTACCTTGAGCGAGATATCTCCCAAGATTCGCTGCAAGACATAAAGCAGAAAGTACAGGATAAGTACAGGTTTGTTTCTGAAAAATCCTCGTATCTCAAAGCTGCTCTAGCACCTGTAATGCCTTCTCCTGTGGTGGGTAGCAGCATGTATTTGCCAAGTTACTGTTTTCTCCAGAGTCATGTCCCTGGGAAGCTGTTTGCTGTTGGCCCTCTGCCATACATTGTGATCATCAGCCTGTCCCTGGGCATCTCAGAACAGCAGTGTCCTGTGCCAGAGCCTGAAATTGCTGGCAGTGAAGCCCTCGTGCAGGGGGCTTCACAGCTGCTGGCAGTGTGTTTTTGTGCCCCTGCTGGGACCAGCCCTCAGGGGAGGTGGCTCCTAGCTCTTCTTTGCATCTGCTCTGCTGAGCAGTAGCTAGAAGGTTCAAGCCCTGAACAGAAAAATCTTGTGACCAAAAGCAAAGGCTCTTCATGCGCTACAGAGAAGGAGCACTGGGGAGTGGCCAGGACCTGCCAAAGGAAAACAAGGAGTGACTTTGTTGTTCCCAACCAACAACTTTGGCCTAGGTTGCATTGCCATAAGAAAGCAGACAGCTCTTCTCATTGTCTTGCTTGCACAGTGTGTCCCCCGAGCAAAAAGTGGGTGCAAAAAAGCTGTACTGAAGAAGAAGGAGAGAGTAACCTCTTCAGCCCTGAAAGGGAGCAGAAGTGGGGCCCAGGTGACAGAAATGCCAGTGCTTTTTACGGTCCCTGGGGAATCGCTTCTGCACAGTGGAAAATTTCAAAGCTGTAAATGTGGATGAGTCACAGGATTATGGCTTGCATTTTTTTGAGGCATTTTGCCAAAGTCGCTAAACTTGTCGTGTCTAGGTTGGGGGCAAAAAAAAAAAATAAATGCCCAAGTAGGGTAAGCTTTAGTGATTAAGGAATGCTGGGGAGTGGAAGAAGCAGCCATTAACTCACAGTGGGCCTGTGGCCAATTTTGCCAAAGGGTCTGGCAGCAGGGCTGGGACTGGACAAGGCTTTCAGACTTCCTCTTTGGATAAGTTTTGTAACTTAGCCTTTAAAATGGCCGCTAAGTTGGAACCTCAGCTCAAGCAGCTGTTTGCTTTGTTTCTGTGAAACTGGATGCCCTTCTAGGGATGGCTACAGCTATCCAGAAGAAATTAAAAATTGTATAGGTTGAATTGCCTGACAACATATATCCTCAGTCTGCCTTCAAGTTTCTGGGAAAACAGTATGCATCTGTCAAGCCTGTGCAGGTCCCTAATTAACTAGTTCAGTCATGTCTTAATCATGTCCTGCGCAGTGCTCTTTGTGTACTGGTTACAGTGATGCAAGATTGAGACCAAGGATGTTATCAAGGTGGTCAGATGGGGTTTAAAAGACTGGGAAACTGATTTCCTAGCTTGCAAAGATATTTCTAGAAAACAGAATTGACCCTCTCATCGACAACAAAATAACTGAAGTTGGGAAAGCAGTTATCGTGCATGTTCTTTATTGCATGCTTTGTAAAAATCAGTGGGACTTGGTGTACGAGGACGTGTGTTGCAACAGCTGATGGCAGGGAGAAGAGCCAGAACAGTTTTATTCAGATAAATCTGTTGATCTGATCTGATACTGAATGCTAACAGTATTAGGGCATTAAACATTTGAGTTCAGGCTGCTATGATGTACTTGCACTCCTGCCTACGTGTTGGCATGTGCTATGCTTGGATAGCTTTCTGTTAGGGTCTCCTGCACTGTGCTGGGGGGCTCCTCCTGTGCCTCTGCTGGGCAGCTCCTTTTAGTGAGCAGAGGGACATGCTCCACTGGAAGGGGTTTAGTCCAGAATTGCCTGCTGCTTATTTATAATTTGCTTTTGGAACCTGAATATTTTAAACGTTTCTCTGCTTTTATCTTTTTAGTTGGCTAACGCACCTGAAATGAACATGGCATCTTTTGATATGTTCCTATGATATCCCTTTTCCTCACTATCATTGATCCTGGTAGGACTGTACCTAACTCTGGGATCAGCTTTATTTGCAGCTTTGTCAGTTTAAGTGTGTAGGTGGGAAGACCTTGCAGGGCATAGCGCCCCTCTGAGGCGCAGGAGCTGTGGGGTGAGACCTGCCCTCCAGCCAGGCCAGTGCCCTTTTTGTAGCCATCTCTCAATGCTCTACCACTTCCATCTCTACAGGGATTTTGGAGGGGAGTAAAACAGGGTCAGCATTCCAGGGTTTTGCCCAGCTAGCTCCTGGAATTGTGTATATACAGCTCAGTGAGCAGGCATCAGCACACCTTTGAGGAGAGTTCCCTCCTGTTGCAGGTGTCACCACTAACCTGTGCTCTAGCTTCTGCAAATTGCAGCCACCCCTTCCTCATTTTTCAGTTATCAAAGCAGATTTCTCAGTTCTAGGGGCTTTGGGGATACTTTTGCACAGGAAACTATAAATTTGCATGGTTTTCCACCTAGGGACCTGAAGTGAGTGACTGGAGTAGCTGAAGTCTTAATTAGTGCTGTTAACTGGCTACAGATACAAAGCCCTTCTCTGGGGATCTCCCCTTTGGAAGCAAGGCTTAATGTAGGTTTGCATTACTCAATGCCTGGGATGAGCTGTGCCTCCTAACCTGTCTTTTCTGTGCTGTCCCCCTTTGCTGCAGATACTGCGAGAGTCGACGAAGGGTTTTGTTGCAGCACGTGCATGAAGGCTACGAGAAGGACCTGTGGGAGTACATTGAGGACTGAGACTGGCCCCGCATAAAACGAACTCTGAAACCTTTACCATCTAGAGTGCTCATGCGATAAAAATAAAAACACACACAAGGCACTACGCCTGTTACACCGCTGGTCTGTAGTACCGGGATTCTGTTTTGTTAACAGAAAATTTAAGTAAATTATATTGTAATAAAAAAGGTAGATAAACCATTGTACAACAGTATTCTAGGCGGCCAATAAGAGTGTGACAGACGCACTAAAAAAAAAAAACCCTCCAACTTTAACTTGTAACGTAGCTTCATTCTCCAAGCCGACTCCTTTTTCTTTTCTATCTTTCTTTTCCTGTGTGTAGTACAGATGAAATTTAAACCAATTTCTTGACACTGCTTTTCATGTCCAAACCAGCCATTTTGATGTACTTTGGTAAGGGGGGATGTCTCTCCCGCCCCCCTCCTCCTCTCTGCCACCCAAGTACACGGATGAATGTCGATTTGGCTCCTTGTAAAGGTGATTCTTGGGGAGGGGAGGAGGGGGGTACACAGCAAGGAAAAAAAATTTGTATATGACTTTTAAAACAAAAAGAGGACAACACAGTATTTTTCAAAGTTGTATATAGCGCATATGCATGGACAAAGAGCAAGCGTGGCACGTGTTTGCATAATGTTTAATTACAAAAAAATATTTATTCTTTAAAAATCTTCAAGATTATGTCTATTTGCTGTGCATTTTCTTTCAGTTTGATTTTTTTTTTGTTTTGTTCTGTTTTCCCTGTGATGGGGTGGGGGAAGCGTGTGCTGGTGTAGTGACTTTTTTTGAAGGCTTTAGCCAGAGAAGTGGGGTTTCTCCTCTTCCTGCAGTTCCTTTACAGCCATGGCCTCTGTGGTTTTGTGTGTACCTATTGCTGGCGACGGACCCGTCCCCTCACGCTCAGCTCCTGACACTCGGTAACCCGGTGTGCACCGCATTAGTGACGAATGTACATTGTGGTTCAGGATGCTTTGCCTTTTTTTCCTTTTTTTTTTCTCTCCCCACATTGGTACTGCTTGGCCTGCCCAAATCAGACTCAGCTGTTCCCATCCATGCACGCAGGACACGCACTCTGAACCTGGAGGAAGTGTGTGTATGTGTGTGGTTAGAGTTGTTTTTTTTTTTTTTTTTTTAATTTTCCTTAGTTCTGAGGCAGGAAATGGAGGGGTATGTTGCACCACTTCTCAAAAGATTCTTGCAAGATTTCGGCTGTGGATCTCCTCTCCCTCCCCCTTTCATCTGTCAAATGGAGCGTTCCTTGCTGTTAAGTTTCACTTACATTATAACGAGTCGTAACATTGAAAAGGAAAGATGATGGAATTGTCTTTGTGTTTGTTTTGGGCTCGATTACTGGGCATACTGTCCTGGCAAATATTTAACACTCCATCTAGTGCAGTAGAAATTGAAATCAGTGGGGGTATTTTTCAATTAAAAGGGGAAAGAACTAATGAGTTAGCTACTGAGTCCATTTTTATGATTTCTGTAACAAGAGCTATGTTAAAGTAAACAATTGGTGGTGGTTTTATTAAATTTACTCCTGTATAGGAACTCCTCCTGTGGTATTTTTCGCCAGGCTAGTGTCCGATGAGCTCTGCCAGCCTCGAGGGGGAAAAATGGCAAAGGGGCAGCTCGCAGGCAGGGTGGTGATGTGAAATGCAGTCACTTTATTTTATTTGCTCCCTGTGGATGCCGATACCCACACCTCACACGTTTCCTGCTGCGACTCGAGTGCTGGCGGGTGAGGGGTGGGACGATGCAGACGTGTTTGTGCCTACCACCATGGCAGTGGCTACTTGGGCTTCAACTATTCAAAATACATATTAAAATGCCTCCGTAAAATGTCTGCTCCGGGAGCAGTGTGGTTTGAGCGAGGCTGAGCCTTCACCCTTGAATTTTACTCAGCATTTCCCAAACCGTGTACTCCAGCCCTAGGGCTTCTGCTCCTGAAGGGAAAACCCAGCTGTTGTTTGATCCTAATCACAATCAGGAGCCGGTCACGTCTTTTAAATACTTCTTAAAGCCGGGGGCGGGCAGGGCGACGCGTTTATATCAAACAGCGACCCCTTTCTAGGAGGGGCTCCCCTCAGGAGCCGCGAGCCCCCCTCAGCCCGCGGGCGGGAGCCGGCTCCATCCCCGCCGCCTTCCCGTCGGGCTCCGCGCGGCGCCGCTGCCGCCATGGCGGGCCCGGCGCCGGAACTGGGCCGCGCCGTAACCCCGGCAACGGCGCCGCCCGCCCGCCGCCGCCATGGCGGAGCCGCAGGCCCGGCCGGTGAGGGGCTGAGGGGGGGTGGGCGGGGGAGCGGCCCGGGCTTAAAAAAAACACCGAATTTAAGGGGATGAGGGGGTGGGAGGACGCCTCCCGGCGCTTCTTGAGGCGATTTGAAGGGTTTTTAGGCGTTCCGTGAGGGGAATGATGGCGGGATTGGCTTAAATCTCGCTCTCAGGGGGGTGGGGAGGTATCAACAGGGCAGGGGGAGGGGGAAATGAGGTGGTTTGTGGGGCCGGCCGCTGCCACATGGGGTGGCCAAACGAGGGGTGTTTGGGGAGGTGGGAGATGAGGAACGGGAGAAGCCACTGAGCGGCACTCGGGGGTGATGTGTTGGTTAAAAAAAAAACACTGAAAATATATCAAAAAGAAGCTCTCTGCACTCATTACTGCTGCTTGGGAAGAAAATCTTGGGGATAGGTAGCTCTGCGAAAGGACCGACGCTACGCTTCCCATTGACAACCAGAAAAGTGACTAAATATTAAAAATTAAGAAACGAAGCTGGCCAGAGCCAGAAAACTAGACCTAAAAATGTTCCGAAAGCACTGAAAGGAACGAGTAGGTAGGCTGAAAGTCCACCCTAACAAAATAAAATGTTAAGGTGGGACAGGCCTGTAAAATCCTGTAAGAAGAGGAACGAGGACTGTCTGAGGACTGTTCCCTGTGAGACTTGGAAGGCAAAAATGAAAATATTTCCCCTGGGTGATCCTGGGTAACTTCTGTGAGTGCTCGATTTTGATGTACAGTAAGAAAAATTCCCCACTGGGTTTATTTCCAGGGGCTGCGAGCTGTGGGCAGTGTGTGTGGGGTGAGGTTTGCTGCCCTGTGTGGCACGGCGTCGCTGTGCTCCCAAAGCGTTTGGTGCAGGGGTCTGCTCTCCATGTGCCTTTGGTTTTGCCCCTATGTTCTGGAGCATGCACTTGTTTTCCCTAAAAGACTGCATCTTTATGAAGAGTGATTAAACCTCTCCTCAAGAGAACCTCAAGGACTGGTTAGCAGCCTGCAGGCCTGTGGAGAATGCCCCTGCTGGGAAGAAGGCATTTGACTTTCTCTCCTCTTGCTCTGGGTGACTTCCACGTTGTCATTTCTCGACCAAGGCAGAATGCTGGGTGTTTAATTAGGTCACCTTGGCCCTAAATAAATCCTTTAAAGATGACCCCAAAACGCTTTAAGATGCACTGTGAAACTTACCTTTCTCTGGAGTGAGCTCCTCTCAGGTGTGGTCTGAGCCTGCACAGCCTTGTGCCTCTCATGTAGGTCAGTACAGAGGCTGTCTGTGATTTTCCTTCACTTCTCAGAACCACTTCGTTCAAATGAATTTTATAAATGTTTATAACACGCTTCTAAAATTTTGCCTTGTGATCTCCAAGTAGCGTCTTAAATGCTTGATTTTTTTTTTTAATGTAAACACATGCAATGTGATCACTTTTTGGAATCCTAATCAATAGCAGTGAACCTACAAAAACTGGATGATCCGTAAGACAAACAGGTTTATTTAATCTAACAGTGAGTGGAAATCTCAAATGAGCTATGGCTAGGGAAGATTAGTGCTTGGCAGGGCAGAGTTTGTCTAGCAGCAGCGATGCTATTTTTGTGCACTCTTTTGGGGTTTGCCGGTTGTCCTTTCTGATTATTTTGTGGAATGTGTCTTCAAGAAACCTTGCCTGGTGTATTTAATACTTCTCTTTTCTGTCTTTCTAGGTTTCTACATTGCCAGTGGCTAGAGAGCCTCCAAAACCCCATCCTAAAAGAGGTTTGTTTAAAGATACGATTGTGTTTCTTGGCAGGTTGATATTAAGATTTCTTCATAGTGTGTGCAGCTGTCTAGTAAGAAAGAAATGTCCACTGGGAAAAGACGAGGCTTTCCAGACTGCAAGCTGCTGAGTACTTTTTTTGTAGGGTCTATGTCAGCACTAGCTCAGTGCTTTTGCTGGCTAACTGATTGTACCTACAGGCTGCATCTTAGAATCTAACGGACTTTATTTTAGTGGTTACATACTTCTTGGCTTGCTAATGAGTTGATATTCATCTACCTTCTTAAATAATATGAGTGTTTTTGTCCTTTTTGGTTGTGTGTATACTTGCATTCTTCAGAATAATGTTTTGCTTTAAAAATGATCTTGGGAAACAAACATCATGTCTCGTCGATTTTTTGACATCACATTTTCTACATTTTGAAGTAAAAGCATGTGCAACTGGGATCAAACCAGTCAGGTTGTAACTGTTCTAACTCTAGATTTGTTTTTTCTTTGTTATATACCAAAATGGGTGTTAAGTCTCCAAGTATTTCTGAAATCTTGATTGAATCTGAACTAGATCAGTGGCATTTTGAGTTATTGAAATATTGAAATATTTGACTAAATCCTGATATTTTGTAAAGGGTCTTGTAAAGCCTGCAGTGCAGCTTGGTGGTGCAGCCGCTCCTTCCCCCTCTCCCCTAAATCTTGCGGGGTGACTTGCCCCAGTGCCCTCTGTTTCCTTCTCTGCAGTTCTCAGCTGTGCCCACGTTCCCCATACGGATCTGTTCATTGTAGAGACCTGCATACCTGTGATGTTTGGTTCTCTGCGTTTCCCTTACTCAAGCACCCCCAGGGCCCCATCAGCTCAGGTGATGATGAGGAGTGAGCTCTGCGGTGTTGCCAGAAGCCCAACATACTGACAGCACAAGTCGGAAGCAGTCCCCCTTTTCCTTTGCTGTTTAGTTCAGGGACGCTCAGGTAGGGAGCACTGCAGTTTGGCCTTTTTCTACCTGAATGTGTGGTGTTCCTGTCAGAGCACGCTTTGGGAGAAAGTATTCCATGTTTCTGTATCCCTCGTGATGGAGAATGCCCCGGTGGTAATGCTGGCATTAAAAAGAAGCTTGTTTGGCAACTGGGCATTGTGTTTTCTGCCTACAGGTGAAGTTCTTTGTCTTGCATGTAGGCACAGTGCTATAACTGGCCCTGGGAAGCTGGAAAAGCCTCTTTGCCTTTTTTTGGGGGAGGCCAGGCTAACCTAACCTAGCCCTGTATCCACCTACTGTTGTTGCCTTGGACAAGTGTGAGCCTCTGGTATGTTGCCTGGAGCTAAGACAAGGTTGCTACTGCTGCTGGCCAGTATGCAAGTAAAAATAAATCTAGAACTTTTATTTCCACCTGCAACTCTTTGGGGGCAGGGATGGCTGTCACTTCACAACAGTTAGTATGGCTTCCATGGAGGCACTGCTTGGTTCATCTCCATCCAGTTCTGTAAAGATTGTGACTGATTCCTTCATCTTCAGGAACCTCACCTTGTTCTGCCTTCTCATGCAAGCCACATCTATGATATTTTCCCTGACCCTGGGAGGCTGCGTCTGCTGCCTGTTTTTTCAGGACAGCATCCCCTTCAGCTCTCTAAATAAGACAGCTGCAAAGGGATCAGGCGGATGGTGTTTGCCGAGAGATGGACTATCACTCCGCGGCTCTTTCCTGGCGGGCTGAGGTCTATTAAATCAACTCTGCATAATTCATGAGCGAACGGAATAGCTGAGCAAGAAAGATGGGGCCGTCAACCTTACGAACGAGCCGCGGAGGTATGCTGGGTAGAAGCTGCCGTGCCTCTGTCAGCTTGCTTGTTAAACTGTCAGTCGCGAGCCTTCCTGCTTTTAAGTGCGCGCAATTTAATATTGATTGTTTGGGGGAGCGAACGGAGGCAGTTGTGACTTTCTTAATGGGACCGCTTTTGTGGATCCTGCCTGCCGTTTGATCAAGAGGCTGATTGACAGCCTCGAAACCGAGCCGGGTGCTTCTTTAAGAAGGGCCACCAACACTCCTTCAGGTTTTCAGGCTTCACGAAGAATTGTTTTGCGTCCGTCACCACCCAATATTCCTTCTGCCTCCTTGATTTGGCATGGGTGTTTGCACAGCTGTCTGCCAGAGGGGAAAATTGTAAATGAAATCCAACTGCTGGTGCCCCTGGGTCTCCCTTGTACGACTCTTGAGTCAAAATGAGCTAGCATGAAGACAAAAAGTCTAGCCTGTGACTTGTGTAATTATGTCTGGTTCTCGAGGTAAAGTGGGGCACCTCCAGTACCTGGCTCACCACAGGAAGTTCTTAAATGCTTTGGAAGCCTTTGCCATTTAATATTTGACTCTGTTGCCTTCCATACAGTGGGTAAAAGCTGATTTAAGCCTCCTGTTAATCTCTAGGAAATGAGGGCAGCTGCAAGATTTGTTATAGGGTGTGATGTAACTGTCCTGTGTGAGTATGATGCTGGGGATATGTTAGAGAGGAGAGGAAAAAATGAAAGTGATGTTGTATATTCTTCTGGGGACTTTGGCAGGGAAGAGTAGCATCTCTTACCTGTGACAGATTTTTTTTAAACAGGATTTTTTCTAGAATTTCTTAATGAAGTTTCTGTCCCTATGTAGTTTGGCTAAGGAGAGTTTTAGTAAACTTTAAGGAGCCAAGCAAATCTGCTTGGTGTGTTTGTGTGGAAGAGCTCTGCTAAAGTTATCTTAAACTGACATTTTTAAGCACTGAATGGTAACTTTCTGTTGCAGCGATCTGCCTTTATTATCTGCATTGCATTTTCAGGTGGGAGGTGAGAAAAACATTAGAATTAGTGCAAGCAGGTCGATGAGATATGAGACTGTGTGATACAATAGCATAGGGCCTTCTACAGGGGGTTTGGTGTGGATAAAATTTGTCCCTGAACAGAGCGTGTATTATAATAACTAAATAATGTCGTTGCATGCAGATGTAGTAGACTATGACCAAGTCATTGCTGAACCCTAACTGAAGTCATCGCAGTGGCTGGGTTCAGCTTGCCCGTGTTTGTCCTGGGCAGATGTAAGACATTAAATGGATGGTTCTGAAAATGTTGTCTCAGATTTGCAAAAAGTGATTTGAATGAGAAGCTACAAACGTGGATTTGTTGCTCAGCCAGAAGGAACACCGCACTTTCAGTCTGAATTGTGCAGAGGGGAACACGTCGAGTGCTGTCGAACTGCACAGCTGGAGGGTCCAGTGACTTCCCCTTGCTTCTGCCTGGTGCTTCTCACAGGGATGCTCCCTGTCCTGGGAGACAACTTAAAATGGAAAGTTGGAAGCAGTGTTTTGCACCCTGGCTGTTAAACAAGGCTAACTGTGAGATAAGAGGCAGAAATTGCTCTTCAATTAGCAGCTGTCGGGGCTGATGAGTCGATCAGGTGGCTGCGAAAGCCCGAGGGGTTTGGAGTGAAGAGAGCCCCTCCTGCAGGAAGGTCAGCCCAAAGGGAGAGCAGTGAGCATCCGCCAAGCGTGTAGGGGGTCTGCAGCAGGCTGTGGTGCTGCTGGGGAAAGGCACTGCAGCAATCAGGGTCGAAACCTCTGAACATAGCAATCTAAATTAAAGGGGGTGGCGGACGGCAAGCCCCACCGAGTATCTTGTAGCTGCGCTTGCTGACAACCATTATTCAGTAACTGACACGTTAGTAGCTAAAACCGTTCATTATTTTGTCCTTTACCCCCCGTGGGGAGAGCTCCTCTGAAAATCAATTCCCTTTGTTGCTACATCAAGATCCATAACTCTCCCTGTGTTGATATTTTCTCCCCAAGCAATTGGTGGTGGAATAAAGGAAGCTCTGTTCCTTGAAGCAACGTAGAGTTAATATCTGCCTGCTGAGATGGGGTTTTAATCTCCCTGCTGCATTTTAAATTAATCAGATATTTCCCCAAATGCTGAACTGGTTTTGAATTGAGCTCGACTGTCTCCCAGCTCTCCACTCCTTTTGCCACGCAGGCCAGTCAAGTCATTTTATGGTAACTGATAGTGCCGCAGCAGAGAAAGTCAACAATACAAGCTGGGAAAAGAGCTTTTATGGAACTTGAATTTATTTCCCTTTGTCATGAAAAATATTATTTAGAAAGCAAGTTCTGGGCTCTCGTGTTAGTCTAATAACAGTTCAGAGGTTAATGGATTTGCATTTGGATTTCTACACAAATATTAGACCCTAGCTTTTGCAGAGATACAGTGATGGATTTTTAATAACAGGATAGAATCCTAAAATCCTAAATCCTAAAAAAAACCCCTAACATATTAAATACACTGTAGAAAAATAAAGTGGAATACACTTGAGTTACTGGAAAAACGTGGGCCAGAAGCCCTTAAGACTGTGAAGAAGGCGATTCTGAATTGTTACCAACCCTGCTACGCGTACCCAAGGATGGGGCAGGTTGATAATATTCAAAGAGAAAATCTCCCACTTGAGAATTGCAAAAGGATTAGCAAGGATTAAGTGTTCTCCCCAGTCTGGGGCATTAGGATATTTTTTGGATCCATTGTAGGTATGATTTTTCTAATGTTTATAGCAAAGGAATTCTGCTTTGGATTAGCTGTGACCTTTGGCAAAGTGCTTCAGCTTTGTTTTTTAACATTTATCAAAGAGAAGATTGGTCTAACGTTCAGTGACAGCGTTTGGATGCTGCAGGTTTTCAGTTAACAAAACATTTGGAGACGTTCAGTGAAAAATATTACATAAATGTAATATACTGCAGAGTACTACTTGACCTGTTTGAGTGCTGCTAAAGATAGTACTGAAGGGTGCAGGCAAGATGTACGGGCGTACCAGAAGGGAGAAATGTTGTGTTCCCTGCTCTGCTCTGCCCGCAGGGTGATTTAACACACTCATCGCTTCACATCAGAGCACTTCTGTAAAATCAGCCAGGTGTCTGGCTGTTTTCTGCCTGCTTCAAGGCTTGTGAGTCTTCATCTGATTTTTTTTTTTTTTTTTTTTTTGAGTGGTTTCCACTTCT